CTCTGCCTACCCCTATGTCTTCAAGATTTCTACCTTCTTTCTCCTCCAGAAAATTCAATGTTTCTCTTTTAATATTTAGATCTTTAATCCGTTTTGACTTTAGTGTACGGTGATTGACACAGGTGTGGTTTTAGTTTTCAGCATGTGGACAGCCAGTTTTTCCAGCACCATTTATTTAAAGAGGCTGTCTTTCTTCCAGGGATCATGGCTGGCCCTTTTGTCAAAGATAAAGTGGGAATACCCATTTCTGACAAAACTAAACAAAAAAAAAGAGGATATAAATGAAGGACCATTTTGTATCTGTACATACAAAATAGTTAAGATAGATAGGCAGCTACTTTCTCTTAATTCAGTGAGAAGAAAGATTTGTACTAATAGTGTTTGGACAGGATACCATGTCTGTATCTCGTACTATGAATAAGCACTATGAAGACAACAATATGCAATGTATTAATTATTGAAACTGTCCTACTAACTGGCTTTGAAACTATTTCAGTGCTATTTGTTTCTCAATAAAATTTTAAAAAAAGATAAAGTGGGTCAGTGTATTTGTAGTTGCGTATATATCTTCTAATCTGTTCCATTGATCCTGTTTTTTTTTCCCCCAGTATCATGCTGATTTTATCACTGTAGCTTTCTAGTATAATTTCCAGGCAGGGATTGTGGTGCCCCCTGCCTTGCCCTTGCTGCCCAGGATTGCCTTTGCTCGTCTAGGTCTCTTCTGGTTCCAAAGGAATTTTAGGAATGTTTTCTCTAGTTGTGTGAGGGATGCTAATGCTATTTTGATCGGGATTACATTAAATCTGTGCACCAGTTTTGGGAGTATGGCCATTTTCACAATTGTGGTTCTTACCCATGAGCAAGGAGTATCTTACCATTTTCTGAAACCTTCTTTGATCTCTTTTTGCCTCTATTAAGGGCTCCATCTATACATTTTCAAGGTACAGATCTTTTTCTTATTTTTCTAGATTGATTTCTAAGTATTTCAGGTTTTTTTGATGCTACTGTGAAGGATATAGCTTCCCTGATTTCTTTCACGGATATGTATAGATACCCAAGACAGCTAAGATAATTGTACTGCTAATTTTTGTTAGTTCCTGAAAAGAATAGTTGGTGCTTATATGTCTGACCAATCTTACAGGCCTATGTCTGGTAATCTGAGTAACTACTTTCATGATTAACAATCCACAATACAACCACTGTTAATTTCCTATCCTCTTGCTTTGAAATTCTGTATCATTTTTATGTTTTTTTTTTTTTCTCCTCTCTTAAATAAAAAAGGAGAACAAAGCTATGTGCTGGTGATGGCCCCGGGAAGGAGGGACCCCCACACTGCTAGAAG